CATCTTTTCATATTCCTTGTAATCTTATAAAAAGCTAGTATTCCTTAGCTATAATCAATCTATCTTGCCCGCACATACTAGCGCAAGGTGGTTCAACACTTTGTCATTGAAACGCTTCCGCAATACAACATTCCTATCAACAGCTTTAGCCTTGAAAGATCCTAAGGGCTTTTCTCAGCCCAACATGTATATGTATGTGTGTGTGTGTGCATGTATGTGTGTGTGTTTGTGTATGTGTAAGTATATATGTGTGTGTATGTGTATATGTATGTATATGTGTATGTGTATGTATGTGTGTATGTGTGTGCGTGTATGTATGTGTATATGTGTACGTGCGGGCGTGCGTATGTGTGTATGTGTGTGTGTATGTGTGTGTGTGTGTGTGTGTGTGTGTGTATGTATGTGTGTGTGTGTGTGTGTGCGTATTGTTAACGGGAATGGAGTGTTGGCCCCGCCCTCGCTTGGGCAACGCCGACGACTTGGTCGGGTGTACGGGAGTAGCAATCGACCATTCATAGTGGGAGAGCTGCTCGACAGGCTTTGTCGAGCAGCAGGGGACCGCTGTGGTGCTGCTGTCGACCAGGGAGCTCGACAACTGTAACTGACTGGTCTGGGCGACGGGTGGGCCGTCGACCAGGAGGGGCAATTAGACCGAGAGGTCTCCGTCAACCTGCAGCTCGACTAGGGGGGGTCTCCGTCGACCTGTAGCTCGACCGGGAGCAGTCCGTCGACCTGCAGTTCGACCGGGAGGTCGACGGAGCAGTTCGTCGACCTGACAAGTGAGCAGCGGTCGACGAGGGGAGCTCGACGACAATCGCTGACAGTTCTGGTCGATGGAAGGGGTCCGTCGACCAGGGAGAAGCTTGACAGGAGCTGTGGTCGACGAGGGGCACATGTTGGTCGACCAGAGGGACTTGGTGGTCGACCAGAGGCAGTGGTGGTCGACCGGAAGCACCTGGTGGTCGACCAGGTCAACCGGGTAACCTACTCGACGAGTTCGGCGGAGGCACGCGAACGTCGTCGAGGTCGCGATGGTGAAGACAACTGCGGGCTGGTATCCCGAATTCTATGTGGCTCGTCAGGCGCAGACAACAGCCGACGGATGCCCAATGAGGCAAGTCGGGCCAATCGTCTGCGCGCACCTGCGAGCGTGCGCACTGCTGTGTTCTACGGGGCAACGCTGGACAGCCGCTCTACTGCAGCGTTGGCACGCCGTCGACCTGCTCTGTTGGCAGGTTGCCCTTCTGCAGTGCTGGCACGACTCCTCTACGCAACGCTGGCAGGCGGTCGACCGAGCTGTGCAGGCGGTCGATCAGGCTAGCTGCAGGGTTGCTAGGTGCCTCATGTAGTCATTCTGTCATTGCTTATTCAATCATTTTGTAATTCCAACTTTCCTAGAGGAAACTCTTGCCGATTTCTCTTGTGAATGTGCAATCACTAAGGAACTAAGCAAAGCTACGATCACTCCTAGTAGTTCGTGCCAACCCCCGTCGTCTAGCTCACTACCGTTGTAGAGTGTCTCTCCGCATGGTATGGTGAGCGTGGACGGCCCCGCAAATACCTCCAGATAAGAGCCGCCTTTTGAACCTACTAAGTCGTTCGTAGGCCGGCAGCAGCGTTAGTCGCCATGGTCGACCCCGTAGTTGATGCGGGCGTAGCGGACACCTTGGAGGCACGTTTGGCTGACGCGAGGAGACGCCACGCGGATGGCGAGTACGGGACGATTCCCTTGGTGATCGCCGAGTTGGGCATCCGGTCGTAGTGGGCGACGGAACACCCTTCCCGTCCTGCTTCTCCTCGACCGGTGCGCAACGAACGTGGCGTCGACAACGAGGTCGACGGTGGTGCACGAGTCAGTGGCAGCGAAGGCACGAGGCAGAGAGGGGTGATCAAGGTCGACGGTGGAGTCGACGGAATCCAGGCGCGACTGCAGCGGTCGACGGCGGCTGCAGGCAGCTCGCGTGTCGACGTCGATGTTCGACGTCGCTCTCCTCTACAAAGCGGTGGAGGGCTCTCGGCGACGACGCATGTGACGGCGGGCGGAATTGCACCGGCGTATGGCTACTTCAAGTTCTCACCGGACCGGATCACCGTCGCACCGCTGCAAGGTTGACGGGACCTCATCATCTGGAGGGAGTCGATCGAACATCAGCTGGAGGTCGCCGGGCTGAAGGGCTTCGCCGACGGCACCGTGCCCATTCCGCCCGAGAAGGATGTCGAGCTGCGCGGGGAGTTTCGTTCTGCTCACATGCTCACCTTCATGGTCATCTCGAGGTGCTGCTCGCCGGTGGTGCAACTGGCGCTCAGGATCTGTCGAGAGCGAAAGGGCGGTGGTCAGCAGGCATGGTCGCCTGGCTGCAACACATGGTGAGGCGCGGAAAGTTCGTGCTGAAGTACATCCCGACCACCGAGCAGCCAGCGGACTTCCTGACGAAGGCGCTGCACTTTCCGGCTTTCAACCGGTGCTCTGTCGCCATCGGCCAAGTTCGTCTGGCTACCGTCGGCGACGGCGACGACGAGGTGCAGCAGTAGGTGCCGTGCCCTTCTGCACGGCTGGTGCGATGACGGCGTGCTATGTGTGGGGTGCACGACGAGGACGAGTTTTCTCCGTGGAGTAGTGTCGTGTGGGCTGGAGGCCCAAGCGTGAGCGCGACAGGGGAGCGTTAACGGGAATGGAGTGTTGGCCCCGCCCTCGCTTGGGCAACGCCGACGACTTGGTCGGGTGTACGGGAGTAGCAATCGACCATTCATAGTGGGAGAGCTGCTCGACAGGCTTCGTCGAGCAGCAGGGGACCGCTGTGGTGCTGCTGTCGACCAGGGAGCTCGACAACTGTAACTGACTGGTCTGGGCGACGGGTGGGCCGTCAACCAGGAGGGGCAATTCGACCGGGAGGCCTCCGTCGACCTGCAGCTCGGCCAGGGGGGGTCTCCGTCGACCTGCAGCTCGTCCGGGAGCAGTCCGTCGACCTGCAGTTCGACCTGGAGGTCGACAGAGCAGTTCGTCGACCTGACAAGTGAGCAGCGGTCGACGAGGGGAGCTCGGCGACAACCGCTGACAGTTCTGGTCGACGGAAGGGGTCCGTCGACTAGGGGGTAGCTCGACGGGAGCTGTGGTCGACCAGGGGCACCTGTTGGTCGACCAGAGGGACTTGGTGGTCGACCAGAGGCAGTGGTGGTCGACCGGAAGCACCTGGTGGTCGACCAGGTCGACTGGGTAACCCGCTCGACGAGTTCGGTGAAGGCACGCGAACGTCGTCGAGGTCGCGATGGCGAAGACGACTGCGGGCTGGTATCCCGAAGTTTATGTGACTCGTCAGGCGCAGACAACAGCTGACGGATGCCCAACGAGGCAAGTCGGGCCAATCATCTGCGCGCACCTGCGAGCGTGCGCACTGCTGTGTTCTACGGGGCAACGCTGGACAGCCGCTCTGCTGCAGCGTTGGCACACCGTCGACCTGCTCTGTTGGCAGGTCGCCCTTCTGCAGTGCTGGCGCGGCTCCTCTACGCAACGCTGGCAGGCAGTCGACCGAGCTGTGCTGGCGGTCGATCAGGCTAGCTGCAGGGTTGCTAGGTGCCTCATGTAGTCATTCTGTCATTGCTTGTTCAATCATTTTATAATCCAACTTTCTTAGTGTAAACTCTTGCCGATTTCTCTTGTGAATGTGCAAGCACCAATGAACTAAGCAAAGCTACGATCACTCCTAGTAGTTCGTGCCAACCTCCGTCGTCTAGCTCACTACCGTTGTAGAGTGTCTCTCCGCATGCATATGTGTGTGTGTGTGTGTGTGTGTGTGTGTGTGTGTGTGTGTGTGTGTATGTGTGTGTGTGTGTGTGTGTATGTGTGTATGTGTGTGTGTGTGTGTGTGTGTGTATGTGTGTGTGTGTGTGTGTGTGTGTGTGTGTGTGTGTGTGTGTGTGATGTGTTTTTGTTTTTGTTTTAGATTTTGATCATCCCACTTAGAACTGTAGAAACTGCAAATGAGATCCACGTATACACTACATTCGCCTCTTTATCCACAGGAATGGTGTGGGGTTTGATTTCTGACCAGGCGATTGCATTTCCAGATGCTTCCGCCCCTTCCACATAGTCTCGTCGTTTTTCGGGATCGTCGGGGAATTGCGTCAACTTCAATCACAGCAAAGCAATCTACTGGCTGTGAATGTCGTTTCAGATCGAAATCAAGCCATCCTGACTGTCGATTCGTTTAGCTGTGTTTGGAACGAGGGTTTGTTGTTGCCTCACCTTGAGATTATCGCTTGATGAAGGGATAGCAAGCAGGAAGAATGTGCCAGCAGATTTGCCACCAACGTTGTACAGCAAGCAACAATAGCCAGCATTCCTGCTCAGAGGGACACACAGACATTCAGGCGAACATTGAAAGCCGAGCTTAGTGTTTCAGTTCCACGTAGGCCACCGCTGGAGATTTTGTTTGAATAATCCTCAAGTCGCCGACCAGCATTTTCGACACCACTTTTTTGCAGTGTGATTGGAAAAATTGCGGCACCCGTGGCTGTTGAATATTTTTGGAACTCGCAGTTGGCGCCTTAGTAACGTAAATGGCGGCGTTGGGCCGTCTGAAGAGCCGCTTGCTTACGGTTCTTCAGTAAGCGAGTTGTGAGTCCACTAAACAAGAGGGTAACGAAAGAGCGTGCTTGGGTACGATTATTCAGGAAGCGAGGCACGCTTTTGGAGTTCGGCAAGCGTGAATGTTGGCGATTGTAGACTTTGTATGTTCGCCACATCGCGTTAACACTTGAATCCCATTTCCCCGGTTCATAGAAGCTAAAATTTGTACACTTTGTATGGTAGTAGTGACCACCGTCGAACGACCAGATTTGCTTCCCTTCGGAGTGCAGTTACCGTCGTGGCGGCAGTGCAGTAGCGCCGACCGTGCGATAGTGCCGACTGTGCGATACCGCCAATCGTCGGGCCTTCGCAACGAAACGAGAACAGGCTGTTTCAGGAAAGAAGAAGAAAAAAGTACTACATTACTCTCGAGATGCGCGAGGCGACGACGATTTCAGACTCCAGCGGTGATGGCGAGGCGGGAGGAGAGGGAATGCAGGCAGCAGGCAGGCAGGAGGAAGCCCGTTCTCCACAGGAGCAGACTGATCCGTCTCAAGCCAGTCCCTCTCGTTCACCTGCTCAGCAGCAGCAGCAGCAGCAGCAGCAGCCAGGTTCCACATCAGCAGCAGCGGCAACCAGCTCGGAAGATCCTCCTGAGCCGCAATCCGGACCTGCAGGTGGCCCAGCGTCCGAACCAACAATCGGCTCAGCGACTGAACCTGCAGCTGGCTCGGCATCCAAGCCTCGGGGAGCAAAGAAGCCACACCACCGGAATGTGATAGATCAGAAACTGCAACAGGAAATAGTCGCTCTGAAGCAGGCTCACCCCGTGCTCACCAGCGCGCACATCGCGCGCGCGGTTACTAAGCTGTACGGCGTTCCAGTGAAAGAGTCGCAGGTGGAGATGATTATACTGAGGTCCACTGTAGACCGGAGCGTGCAGAGCGACTGGACGAGGTGGCGGCGTACGCGGTATAAGAACCCGCCGCTGGAGAAGGCGCTGGTAAAATGGGTGCGCGAGAGGAAGCGCGAGGAGGAACGCGATCCGATGAGAGTAATTAAAGGGGTTAAAAAGCAGCTTACGGTCAAGGAGATGCGGGATTATGCGATGAAGTTAGGACCGTCGCATGGCGTGCCTGACGTGTTTAAGTACAGCGATGATTGGATTAAGAAGGTTCTAGAAGAAAACGGGTTGAATAAGAAAGGAGAGGAGATTAGTAGGGCAGGAGGTGAAGGTTCGGGGAATAATGACGGTGGGGGCAGTGGAGCAGGTTTGGGGGAAGGTGGTGCTAATGGGTTGGACGGAGGCGGGAGCCCAGGCTCGGAGAAACCAGGCTCGGAGAAGCCAGGCTCGGAGAAGCCTAAGCCGAAGCGTCCTTTGGTTCGGAACGAGATCCCGTTTGAGCTCCAGCTTCGGTACGAGATTGCTGTGGTTAAGCGCGCTCGGCCGCACTTAGAGAACAGAGTGATTGCTGCTGCTATCAGGGCTAAGTACGGAGTGGAAATGACCCCGAGGGCGATAAGGAAGATCGGGGAGGAGAGTGATAAGTGGTTTAGGCTGGCTGCAGGAGTGGTCTCAGATCCTGACCAATCACGAATGGAGGAGGCTTTAGCGGAGTGGGTGATTAAAGAGGAGGAGACGGAGAAGAGGGAGGTGACTATAGAGGAGATCATAGCGAAGGCAAAGGAGATTGGGCCGGGGTATAAGGTGCGGCCGAATTTCAAGTATGGCAGGTCATGGGCTACGAGGTTTATGAAGAGGTTCGGGTTGCTGCTGCTGTCGGAGACTAGTACCAAGGATGCTGATAACGAGGATGAGGGAGGGGCGAGAGGAGCGGGAGGAGAGGGAGGCGATGATGGTTATGATGACTGGTTTGAGAGAGAATTCGGGGGGCGAGGGGGAGGAGGAGGAGGTGGAGGGGGAGGGGGAGGAGGAGGAGGTGGAGGAGGAGGCCAGGCAGGGAGGTATCAGGCCAGCGAGGGAGGAAGGCAAGGAGTTGATAGGGAGTCTGGGGGAGAGGAGGAAGGGCAGGGGGATGAGGACAGGGAAGGAGAGGAGTGGGGAGGCGAGGAGGAGGCGGGGGAGGAAGAGGGGGATGGCGGCGCAGGGGAGGAGAGGGATGGTGGATTAGTTAGTTTCGTAAATCTGCAGATGCGAACAGCAAATCGTGCTGCCAGGCAGGTGTTATGTGAGTCGGCAGGGGCAGGAGGCGCGGGTACAGTGGCGGGACGGGGTATGGGAAGAGATGGGGGGGGAGGAGATGGAGGGGGCAAAGGAGAAGGGGGCGGAGGCGGGGAGGGGGAGGGAAAAGACGGGGAAGGGGAAAGGGAGAGGGAAAGCGAAGGGGAAGGGGAAGGGGAAGCGGGAGGTGGTGTGAGTAGCCCTGAGCCTGATCAAGGGGATGCAGGAGAAGGGGCTTCTCCAAGGGTAAATAGCCCTTGGTCGGCGGATATTTTGAATGAGCTGTTTGAAGAAGCAGGGGTAGATGGAATCGGCACAGATGGTGATGGTGCAAGGGGAAGAGACGAAGGGGTGAAGGGGAAGAAGGGAGGAGGTGAGGGAACAGAGAGTGGGAGGGCGGAGGAGGGAGCAGGAGGAGAGGAGAGAGCAGGAGGAGAGGGGCCAGAGGTTGTGAGGCAAGCTTCTGACTTAGCTGCTACTAATGCCGATGGTGCTGCTGTTGCTGCTTCTGCTACTGCTGCTGACACTGATGCTGATGTTGATGCTGGTGTTGGTGGTGTTTCTGCCGCTGCTGCTCATGGTGATGGCAGTCCTGGTGATGCTGCAGGTGCAGAAGGAATGAAAAAGAGAGGAACCAAGCGGGTTAGGTGGGTGGACGAGCAGCAGGGGGGGGTAGACGAGGAGAGGGGAACCGGGGAGAGGGATGCGGGAGAAAGGGGAAGTCGGGAGGGTGGTTTTGGGGGGGTTGAAGGGACTGAGGGGGCTGATGCGGATGGTGATAATGGTGGTGATGGCGATGGCAGTAGTGATTGGGTTGGTGATGGTGGTGCGGGTGGTGGTGGTGATGGTGATGGTGCTGCTACTGCTGCTGGTGCTGCTGCTGGTGCTGCTGCTGGTGGTGGTGATGGGGATGGTGGTGGTGATGGTGATGGTGCTGCTGCTGCTGCTGGTGCTGCTGCTGGTGCTGCTGCTGCTGGTGGTGATGGGGATGGTGATGGGGATGGTGGTGGTGAGGGTGGTGGTGTGGAGAAACAAAGGCATGCGGCACACATTGCGGAACACAGTGCGCCACACAGTGCAGCCACAGAAGCTGGTGCTGTCATCACCCTCACAGCGGAGGGGGAAGCACTGGATGAGGACAACAGTGAAGGAGAAGAAGCAGAACGAGGCCCAGTGGCGCTCGTCGTACTGGATGGGGATGATGCATCCGAGGAGGGAGGTCTAGGCCACTCTGATGGTGCACGCGCAGCAGGGTCCGATACAGACAAGGGTGGTTGTAATGCTCACAGCACGCCCACTGGCGTCTCTTCCCCCATACCCATTGTTCTCGCCCTTGCTGCCGCCAACGATCCCGATACCCCCACCACAACCCTTCCCACCTCTTCCCAAGCTGCCCTGGCTTCTCAAGCCTCGAACCCCCCCAATTCCTCCCAAGCCGCCTGGGCTGCCGAAACCACAGAAAAGGCTCCTATCCCCCCCTATTCCGATGATTCGAAGCGTTGCACGGTCAGGGAGCTGACGGTGGGTCAGAAGCGCGCCTTCTGCCTCGTGCGCCACGCCCTGCCGTACCTGCGCCGAACCAACATCCACGAGCTCGCGAAGGCTGCGCTGCCGGCTTGGGGTGCGCGCGTGTCGTTTGATACTGTAAAGTATGTGGTGAGGGACAGCTGGTGGTGGCTGAAGATTCCACGGGGGAAGGAGGAAGAAATGAAGAATAAACCAAGGAAAAAGAGGAGTAGGAAAGAGAAGGGCACAGGGCAGTGCGCGAAGCTGGAAGAGGCGTTATGGAAGTGGATAGAGGGGATAGGAGCAGCGGAGTTGGTGACGAAAGGAAGGGTAAAGGATAGGATGTTGGTGATGGAAGTGGGGGTGCGGGGTAGGGGTGGGACAGGCGGGAAGAGCGGAGATGGGAGAAGGAGGCGGCATTGCTCGTCTGAGTTCCCTCAAAACCCTCAATTGTCCGCCCCTGTTTTTCTGACGCTGGAGATGATCAGAGGCATGGCGAAGGAGCTAGGACCGACTTTAGACGCTCCTCCTGGATTCAAGTACGCGGAGAACTGGGTGCGGAGGGTTATAGCGCGGTTCCAGGCGAGGGCGAGGGGTGAGGGGGAGGGGCGAGCGGAGGGGGTGGATGGGGATAGGGTGGAGGGTGGGGAGGATGAGGAGGGAGAGGATGGGGATTGGTCGGATGAGGATTCGTATGGTGATGGGGAGAGTGATGAGGAAAGTGATGAGGGGGAGGAGGATGAGAGTAACGAGGGTTCAAGTGAGGATGATGATGTGGTGGAGGTGGGAGGAAGAGGGGAAGGGGGGAAGAAGAGAGGGCGGAGCGGGGAGACAGCAGGGCAGGAGTCGGAGCATGCAAGGGGTGGGAAACGGGGGAGAATCGCCACACCTTCGGGAGACATACAAGTTGCTGCTGCTGCTGCTGCTGCTGCTACTGCCGCCGCTCCTTGTGCCGGGGCTGATCAGGATTCGCACCGGTATGCTCCTGGTGCTGCTGCTGCTGGTGCTGCTGCTGCTGCTGCTGGTGCCGGGGCTGATTCAAATTCGGCTGATCAGGATCCCCACCGGTATGCGCTGCACAAGTGGGCGGACGATCCGGACCTTTCCAGCCTCATGCGGTGTGTGCTCGGGCCAGACTGGCTCACACAGTGCACCCGAAGAGGCGGCATTGCGTACGAGAACGACGGCAGCTTGACTGCTGATGCTGCTGTTGCCGACTGCCGCCCTCCCCGCCGTCGCCGTGCGGTTGCTACAGGCGCTGTTGCTACTGCTGCTGCTGCTGCTGCTGCTGGAGCTGCTGGGTTCAGCAGTTCTCCGGCTGGTGCGGCCGGTGGCCGTACCGTTATGTACCGTTATGAACCGCATGGGGATTCATGGACAGCTGTCGCTGCTGGTGCTCGAGTCACAAGGAGCCAGGCTTTCGCAAGAACAGCAAGAGGAGTAGGAGGAGGAGGAGGAGGAGGAGGAGGAGGAGGAGGAGGAGGAGGAGGAGGAGGAGGAGGAGGAGGAGGAGGAGGAGGAGGAGGAGGAGGAGGAGGAGGAGGAGGAGGAGGAGGAGGAGGAGGAGCGGGTGTAGCAGGCACGGCAGGTGTCAAAGGTATAGCAGGCAAAGCAGGTGTGACTGGCACACCAGGGGGCACAGCAGGGGGCTGGGACACAGCAGGGGGCACTGCAGGGGGCACAGCAGGGGACTGGTACACAGCAGGATCACCACTCAATTTCCAGCAGCTCAACCTGCCCGTCCCACACCAGTTGCGTGCAACCCCACAGCACACCGGCCATTCACCCCACTCCCACACGTATGGCTTCGCTTCTCAAACACAACCTGCTGCTGCCACGTCACCTGCTGCTGCTGCTGCTGCACCTGGTGTTGGGCCGGCTGCAGGAGGGGCGGCTGCTGCAGCTGCGGCACTGCTTGCAACAGCACTGGGCGCTGGTGGTGGTGCTGGTGTTGGTGGTATAGCCGGTGCTCTGGGTGGTGGTTTTGGTGGGTTCGGTAACGCTGCTGGTGGTGCTGGTGCAAGCGGTGGTGCATTGGCCAGTGCAGGCAATCTGGGGGCCCTGGTGAACGCGAGTGCAGGGGCTATTCAAGGATCAGGAGATGGTAACCAGCAGCAGCAGATGCTGCTGCTGCTCACTCTCTTGGCCGCACAGGCCGCAGGAGGAGGTGCCGGAGGGGGCGTGGAGGGGGGTGTGGAAGGGGGTGTGGGAGGGGGTGTGGGAGGGGGTTTGGGAGGGAGTGTGGGTTTAGGTTTTGGAGGAGCAGGAGGGGTAGGAGCTGGAGCTGGAGCAGGAGCAGGAGGAGATTTGGGATGGGGAGCTGGGGGAGTGGTTAGTGAACGAGAGGGGAGGAGGGAGAGGAAGGCGCGGGAGAAGGAGCGGAAGAGAGAGAAGAAGAGAAGGAGAGCAGAGGAGAAGGCTCGGAGACGAGCGGAGAGACGGGGTGGGAGTGACTGGAGGGATTCGATAAGTGAAAGACATGGGGAAAAGGGGGAAAGGCACAGGACAATGGGAGACAAGTATGGGTCGGAGGCAGGCGGGCGGCGTGCGTCGTTTGAGAGTGCGTGGCATGTGCTGGTGGGTGCGGGATCAGGTGGTGAGAGTGGGGATGGAGAGGGGAAGAGGATGGGTGAAGGACGGAGTGTGAGGGAAGTGGGCGGCAGAAAGCGGGCGGCAGAAGTGATTGAGCTCTCAGATGATGACAAAGAGGAGGAGAAGGGATCAGATGATGATGTGGTGGAGGTGAGGGGGGGTGGATGGGGGAAAGGTGCGAAGGGTGGTGGTAGAAGCAGCGGCAAGAAGCGACGGCGGGAGAAGGAGAAGGAGAAGGAGAAGAAAAAGGAGAAAAGGAGGTACCGTCGTGGAAAGGGCCGGCGATCACGGAAGGACAGCTCGAGTGATGATGACGACGAGGATAATGAGTCTGATGATAACAAGGATGTGGATGGGGATGAGGATGGGGATTATCGGGATGAGGAGGACGAGGAGGGGGAGCAGGATAACTCCCAGGGGCGGGGTGGGATCCTGCATGTACGGAGGAACCTCAGGAGAAGCAGCACAGGTGCAGCAGGATCAACCGGAGCTGCTGGCATTTCAAGCATTCCGAGCCATCCGAGCAATCGGAGCAACCCACTGAATCCGAGCCAGTCACTGGCTCTGGTGGCGCAGGCTGCATCTGGGGCGGGCTTACCTCTTCCCGCCTCAGTCACGCAGGAACGGGCTGCTGCTGCTCTTGCTGCCGCCATTGCAGCTGCTGCTTCCGTTGCCCGCGGTGACTCCCCCAATGTTGCTGCTTACAACGCTACTGCTGCTGCTGGTGCCCGTGGGAGTGGGGGTGCTGGGTGGGGGGGTGCTACTAGGGGAGGGATCGGTGGTGGGTCTGGTGGCGGGTTGGCTGGTGGTGCTGCTACAATGGGAGGTGCTGGTTTTGGGCAGTTACTGGGTGCTATAAATGCTGGTGTGATGCGGAATGCTGTTGGGATGGTAAATGCTGGTGGAGTGGGTAGTGCTGGTACTAGTGGACTGTTTAACGCCCACGGACCAGGCAATGCTGCTTTAGGGCAGCCATACTTCTCCCCGTATTATCCTCCCCAGTTCTATTCCGGCTTCAGAAATGCTCCTGCTGCTGCTCCCGCTCCTGCTCCTGGTTTTCCCTCTGCTCCTGCTGCTGCTGCTGCTGCGGCGTCTCCTGCTGCTGCCTTTGCTGCTGCCGCCACTGCTGCTGCTGCTGCTGGGGCTCAGATCTGTGGGGGTGGTAATGCGATTTCGGCTGCTGGTCGGGCTGCTGGTGCTGCCAATTGGGACCGTTTCGTGCAGCAAGTGCAGCAGCAGGGGCAGTGGCAGCAGCAGCAGCAGCAGCAGCAGCAGCAGCAGCAGCAGCAGCAGCAGCAACAGCAACAACAGCAGCAGCAGGAACAGCAGAAGCAGAAGGGACAGAAGCAGCAACGAAAGCAGAAGCAGAAGCAACAGCAGCAGCAGCAGCAGCAGCAGACAGGTGGTTCTGGGTATAGAGCTTCCCTTCTGCAGCAGCTAGAGAAGATGCACAAGCAGCAGCTGCAGCTCATAGGTCAGCTGCAGCACCAGCTGCAGCACCAGCAGTTCAAGGCACCATCTCCCCAGCAGCAGTGGCAGAAACAGCACCTAGAGAACCAGTTGCAGCAGGCACAGCGGTTTGCTTGGCAGCAGCAGAGTGAGATGCAGCTGCTGAAGAAGCAGATCGAGGATCAACAACAGGCGCAGCAGCAGCAGCAGCAGCAGCAGCAACAGGCACAGCAGCAGCAGCAGCAGCAGCAGCAAAGTGCCCCACCTGCTGCTGCAGCCTCTTCTGCTGCCGCTACCTCTACTCCTGCTGCTACCGCCCCTGGTACTGCTGCCACTGCTCTCCCTGGTGCTGCTACCATTGATCTCCCTGCAGCTGCTACTACTGCTGGTGCTGGTGCTGCCACCACTGCTCCTGCTGATGCTGATGCTCCTACCACCACTGCTGACTCTGGTGCTGCTACTGTCGCTCCTGCTGACGCTGACGCACCTGCCACAGCTGCTCCTTTTGAGGCGCCTCAAAATTCCACTACTCCTGCTGACTCTGATGCTGCTACCGTCATTCCTGCTGACGCTGATGCACCTGCCACAACTGCTCCTGCCACAACTGCTCCTGCCACAGATGCACCTGCAACAGATGCACCTGCAACAGATGCACCTGCAACAGATGTACCTGCAATAGATGCACCTGCCACTGCTGCTGCTGCAACAGCTGCACCTGCCACAGCTGCACCTGCCACAGCTGCACCTGCCACAGCTGCACCTCCTGAGTCGCCTGAGGCTGAAACCACAGCAGCTACAGCCGCACCACCTGATTCACCAGAGGCTGAGATCACAGGTGCTACAGCCGCATCTGTAGCAGCTACAGCCGCACCACCTGATTCACCAGAGGCTGAGATCACAGGTGCTGAAATTGATGCCGTGGACGCCACCATTGGCAAGCTCCTTAAAGGAAAGGATTCTGACACACCTGTAGCTGCTACAGCTTGTGAAAATGTGGATGCGACAACTGAGGCTAATGCTGTAGCTGCTACAGCCGATGAGGTAATGGCTGTAGCCGCTACAGCCGATGAGGTAGTGGCTATAGCCACTACATCTGGTGAGGATACACAAGAAAAGATGGAACGACAGGTGCCTAGAGCAACAGTCACGGATGATATGGAAGTGGATGGAGGTACGGCTACAGGCCGTAAGGCAGGGGATCTCACAGTAGCTACAGCTGGTGAGACAGGGAATGGCACAGCAGCACCTACAACCAACGAGGCTGAAGATGCCACAGCAGAGACAGCTGATGATGAGGCAGGAGGAGACGCCACTGTTGCGGCAAAGAACATGGCTAGTCCAAAGGAGTGCCCACAGGGGAGGAAAAGGGCTAGAACCAGTCCAGATGCTGACAATGATGATGCATGTGGTGCTACGGGCGATGGTGCTACAGATGGTGGTGATGCAGGTGGTGGGGGTGCTGTTGCTGGTGCTACAGGTGATGGTGCTACAGGGGATGGTGATGCAGGTGGTGGTGGTGCTACAGTTGTTGCTACAGGTGGTGGTGCTACAGACGATGGGGAGTCAAAAGCGATTGCGCCGATGCATGTGGGAGGCAATGAGCACGAGGCAAAGGACGCAACGGATGTGGATGTGGATGTGGATGTGGATGGAGGAGATGATACTGCAGCAGATGATGATGGGGAGGCAAGAGGAGATGATGGTACGAATGATGTTGCACCTCAGCATGGTGAGGGTAAGCCACATGAGGCAAAGGACTCAATTGATGTTGATGTTGATGTGGATGTGGATGGAGAAGGAGATGATGCAGCAGCAGGTGATGATGGGGAGCGAAGAGTTCATGGTGGTAAAATTGATGCTGGAGCTACAGCCGATGGGGCTACAGGCAATGGGGCTACAGCCGATGGGGCTACAGGCGATGGGCCTACAGCCGATGGGGCTACAGCAGATGGCGCTACAGATGATGTTGATATGGCTGACGACGCTACAGGTGATGGTGGTAGAGATGATGGGGCTACAGCCGATGGCGCTGAGACTGCTGGGGCTACATCTGACGGCGCTATAGGCGCTGGTGCTACAGGCGCTGGTGCTACAGACAACGGTGCCACAGAAGATGGGGTGAAAAGTGCCAGTGCTGTGGATGGAGGTGCAGTAGGCGCTACAGGCGATGGGGCTACAGGCGATGGGGCTACAGGCGATGGGGCTACAGGTGATGGCGCTAGAGGTGATGGCACTGCTGATGGTGCTACAGACGGCGGTGCTACAGACGGCGGTGCTACAGACGGCGGTGCTACAGACGGCGGTGCTACAGACAACGGTGCCACAGAAGATGGGGTGAAAAGTGCCAGTGCTGTGGATGGAGGTGTAGTAGGCGCTACAGGCGATGGGGCTACAGGCAATGGCGCTACAGGCCATGTGGCTACAGGTGATGGGGCTACAGGTGATGGCGCTAGAGGTGATGGCACTGCTGATGGTGCTACAGACAGCGGTGCTACAGACGGCGGTGCTGCAGGCGATGGTGCTACAGGCGATGGTGCTGCAGGCGATGGTGCTGCAGGCGATGGTGCTGCACGCGGCACAGTTGATGGTGGGGCTTCAGATGGTGGGGCGGCGGTTTAGATACAAGGCATACAGGACACACACTTTTCACTGAATGTGTTAAACATTCTACCCGTTCAGCTAACATGGTACCGTACTTGCTTGCAGGTACCATACCGTACCATACCGTCATCGCCCGGATATAAGACATATATGTCTTATCTCATACACTAAAAAAAATGCTTGGGTTATCTTGTATTTGGGGAGGTTTTGGGTGTGTTATAAGTCTTATAAATGGAAACTTTTTTAAACTACTTAGAAATATTTTCACGCATCTTGAAAAGAGTTTCTCATTAAGAGTGTGGATGTTGCGAAGGTGCCACTTCGGCAACCATTGTTCGGGACGCCACGTCATCCCGAATACTTGCAGAGGCAAATTTGGAAGTACGTGAGTCAGCACGTGGCAGAATTCGCGTGTTGCAAGGGTAAAAATGTACGCGGTATTTCAATTTTCACTATAATACATTGCAGTTTCGATTATAAGACACATATGTCTTATCTCGTACACACATTTAGGTGTCGTATAAAAAGGCTAGCCTGTTTATAAGAGACACCCGTATAATAGACAACCCCTGTCTACTATTCAACACTGTCTTATATCCGGGCGATGACGGTATTTGTTTTGTGGTGTGTGATTGATGCATGTAAGAGTCGTCAAATAAACTCAAAGTGAGTGCAGCTATTATAACTGCTATTAAGCTGTAATATTACCGTATGACACAATGCACTGTATCATAACATAACCAATTTGTATAACTTGCTCTTCCATACAATCCCGACTTCCCCTGCAGGCCCAACACTACTTGAACCTGCTGTTTGAGGGGACCGCATTCGCTGCAGGGAAAACCTTGTACTGTACAAGTTGTACTGTACAAGGTGACATTTGACATTTGAGTAGACTGAAAAGTTATACGTCAGGAACAGTGCAGGCATTTTCTGTACTTGCACCTGCTGCTACGGTATTACTCCACTTGTCTGCTCATTCACTGTACCGATATTTGCTCCTCTGGCTGTGCTGCAAGCCACAGCGCCTGCTGCTATCGCCCTAACTGCCTCTTGATTCTCTGTATCTGCGTCTCCCGCTTCAGCTGCTGCTCAAGTGACGCTCGGACACCAGAAGGGCCTTGCTGAATCTGCGGCCTATCACCCTAACTGCCTCTTGATTTGCTGTATCTGCGTCTCGTGCTGCACTGCAAACCGCTGCGCCTGCTCCAACTGCTGCTCCAGGCGCTGCCGCTGCCACTGCTGCTGCTGGGTTGGGTACATGAACTGCTCCTCCTCCCTCTCTAGCTGCCGCAGCTGCCATTGCAACTGTTGCACATGCTGCCTTTGCTGTGCCTGCTCCAGCTGCAATTGCTTCAGCTGCTGCTCCAGTGACACTCGGACAGACCTCTGAGTCGACCCAAAATTCTGCTCCAGTGACGCTCGGACGCCAGAAGAAACTCGCTGATTCTGCTGCTCTTGCTGCTGAGGGAATTGCTGCTGCTGCTGCTGCCGCCGCCGCAAGAATTGCTGTTGTTGTTGCCGCTGCTGTGGCTGCAGCAAAAATTGGCCTACATGGGTGGCTAATTGATCACCCACTGCATTAGAAGCACCAGTACCAGCAGCACCCTTGTTTCTTCCTCCTCCAGCATTTGATGTTCCACCAGCACTTAGCATCCCACCAGCGTTAAGCGCTCCACCAGCACTTAGTGCACTCAGGAACTGGCCTAGACCGGCACCTCCCAACCCAGCAGCACCGGTTGAAACCACTCCAGAAGCAGGAGTACCAACAACACCGGGAGCAGGAGCACTGATCCCACCACTCGCGACTGCAGTGGCAGCCGCAATGGCAGCAGCGAGAGCAGCAGCAGCCTTTTCAGGTGTGACTGAGGTTGGAAGAGGTAAGCCTGCCCCAGATGCAGCCTGCGCTGCTGCCTGCGCCACCAGAGCCTCGACCACTGCAGAGGATGCTGCTACTCCTGTGCTGCTGCCTTGTCCGGGATACTTCCTCCTCCTTTTTCTATCATCATCCACCTCTCCCTCCTCCTCCTCTTTGTTTGAATCAGTATTGTAACTCTCACTGCTATCACTATCGTCACTAGAACTATCACTATCATCGCTTCCACTTTCACTATCATCACTCTCACTAGCACTGCCGTCATCACTATCACTATCGCCGTCATCACTATCACCATCACCATCCTCATCACTTGAGTTTCTGGTTCTCCCTTTCCTTCCCCTTCGCCTATCGTCTCTCCCTCTCTCCCGCGCTCTCCGCCTCTTCTTCCCTCCTCTCTTCCCATCCCTCTTCCTCCCCTTTCTTCCTTTCCTACTCCCTTGTCTCCTCACTCTTTGTCTCACCTCCACTACATCTTCTGAATCATCCTCACTCCCGCTCTCACTCTCACCCTCATTCCCACTCTCACTCTCACTCTCACTCTCGCCCTTCCTATCCTTCCTCCTCCCTCCTTTCCCTCCTCTCTCTCCTCTCTTCGCCTCCAATACATCCTCTGAATCCTCCTCACTCTCACTCCCGCTCTCATCCTCACCCTCACCCTTGCTACCTTTCCTCTTTCCTCTTCTCTTCCCTCGCCTCCTCCCCTTTCTCCCCCCTCTTCTTAACTCCTCATCATCTGAATCCTCCTCACTCTCACTCGCGCCCTTCTTTCCTTTCTTCTTCCTGCCTCTCACTCTCCTTCTCCTCACCTCCACTTTTTCTCTAGAATTCTCCTCACTCTCACTCTCACTCCTCTTGCTAGAACCACCACTCAAATCCTCTTCCTTCACCAATATCTCATTCACCTCTGCCTTCCCACCCCTCGACCGCCCATTCCCACCGCTCTCCCGCCCATTCTCACCGCTCTCCTGCCCATTCTCACCGCTCTCCTGCCCATTCCCACCGCTCTCCTGCCCATTCCCGCCGTTGTCCTGCCTATTACCACCCCGTTCTCCCCCATTCCTCTTCCCACTCTTTAAACCCCCAGTTGCATCTTTATCCCCTCCACTGCTATCAATTTCCCCTCCCGCACGGCTACGCTCCTTTCTCCCACCATCCTTGTCCCCTCTCCCACAATCACCCTCCCCTTCCCCACCGCCTCTCTCCCCTTCATCTCCATTTTCCCCGCCATTGTGAGTCATCAAGACAGGGTCACCGCCACCCCTCTCCCTTCCAATGCCGCCCCTCTCCCCGTCACTGCCGCCCCTCTCCCTTCCAATGCCGCCCCTCTCCCCGTCACTGCCGCCCCTCTCCCCGTCACTGCCGCCCCTCTCCCCGTCACTGCCGCCCCTCTCCCCGTCACTGCCGCCCCTCTCCCCGTCACTGCCGCCCCTCTCCCTGCTACCGCCGCCCCTATCCTCGTCACCGCCGCCCCGCTCCCCGTCACTGCCGCCCATCTCGCCCCCATCCCCTCCAGCCTGTCCCTCTGTTTCTCTCCCCACACCATCCGTCTCCCCTCCTGCATCCCCACCAGCCTGCATGGTGTTTCCAGTCGTCTCAACTCCACCCTCAGCATTTTTTTTTGTCTCCCCAGCAGCGCCCCCACCAACCAGCATGGCCCATGCAGTGTGAAAGGAAGCGTTTCGTTTCTTAGACCGCTTTTCAGCCTGCTTTTGAGGCGTCTCAAAAGCCTGTGTACCAGCTGAATCAATACCCGTCTTTGCTCCGCTCCTTCCCTTCTTTTGAAGTGCTTTTTTCGACTGAGATGTTTCCAGACTTCGACCGCCCTCTGACCTTCTCACCTTCTCTCTCACCCTCTCCTCTCGTGCCATCTCCTCTCTCACCATCTCCTTCCTCCCCAATCTCTCCTCTCTCACTCTCTCCTCCTCTACCACCCTCCTCTTCTTTCCCTGCCTTTTCTCATTACCCAATCCTCTAACCCCGTAGTCTGGTCCTCCATCTTCCCCTCCTCCTTCCCCTCCCCATCCCACTGCTCCAACCCCTCCTCCCGCTCCTTCCCCCCACTCACTACCACCAAATGCCCTCTCTCCCCGCTCATACAAGTACCCAGATGCGTTCCGAGAGGAGTAAGGAAAAGCAGCAGTGCCGCCAGGCAGCCCTCCCATCCACTCTCCACCACCACCTCCTCCTCTCTGATCCTGTCTCACCGCACACTTTGGCAAGCGCTTGCCACGCGTGGTGGGACCAGCAGGGCCCGCATTGGGAGTGAGACCAGCTGCTTGGGGACCAGAGAAAGCGTGTCCAGGCATGGGTGGAGAGCGGTTGAGACCGTTACCAAGGGATGGTGCGGCAGTGAAACCACCTGCCCAAGAACCAACCCCTCCTAATGGTCTCTGCAGCCTCTGCTGCCAGTGCTCCGAGCCCATGACAGCAGCACGAGAGTCAATAGTTGAATTTTGAGTCGACTCAAAAGTCGACCTGTGCTGCCCCTGCAGCCTCTGCTGCCACTCCTCCGAACCCATGACAGGAGCACGAGGAGCAAGAGGGTCAGCAGCGGTACGTGTGCCTCGAAATTCAGGAGCACGAGGAGCAAGAGGGTCAGCTGCATGTGCACCAGGGAAGCCAGCACGAGGGGCAAGAGGGTCTGCAGCACGGGAGCCAGGGAAACCGGGGGGAACACGAAGCCTAAGATTACCAGCGGCTTGAGAACCAGAGAAGCCAGTAGCACGAGGTGCAGGAAGACCCGCTGCCCATGAACCATCCTTGCCCGAAAACCCCTCCCTCTGCTGTGCTGTGGCGTTCACAGCAGTCATGGGAGAAGTACGGTCAAAGGCACCAGGCCAGGACCCATCCCTGCCCCATGCCCCTTGTTGGCGCTGCATAGACATGTGCAGAGGAGGAGGAGGAGGCTTGCTTTGAGGCGGCAGCGGCAAGGAAGGGAAGCCACGAGAGTCAATAGCTTCAAGAGCATCAAGCGCTTCAGCAGAGTCAACAGAGTCAACAGCATTGAGGGAGTCAGGAGAATCAGGGCGGTTGTCTGGGAGCTCTTCTGGCCAGGAATCATCATCGCCGCCCCATGGGGTCTGCTGCCCGTGAAACCTCTGCTGCCCGTGAAACCTCTGCTGCCCGTGAAACCTCTGCTGCCCCTGAAACCTCTGCTGCTTCTGCAACTCCTCCTGCTCCTGAAACGCCCGGAGTTTGGCTTTACTGGCCCAGGGTGTTGGCAGCAGCGGGGCAGCATTGCCTGCAGCAGCACCACCACTACCAGCTGCAGCACCACCACTACCAGCAGCAGCAGCAGCACCAGCAGTGTGCGCGAGCTTGGCCGGCGGCCTTGCAGTGTGTTCGGGATAAGCATCACCACGACTAGCACCAGCGGCACCAGCACCACCAGCGGCACCACCAGCAGCAGCATCAGCCCGAGCAGCAGAAGCGGCAACAGCAGCAACAGAAGCCTCCCTGACAGAGCGCAGGTACGCATACTTACGGAGCCAGTTCGGCCCGTAGATTGACTGCATAAGCGATTTCACATGCGTATCGTCTGCCCACTTCTCCAAATCATACGGGTCTGACTGCCGGTCGTGTGGAAAGCGGTCCAGCAAAGGTGCTAACCGCTTCTGTAGGTTGTATGGGTCACACCGTCGACCAGACTGTCGGTCAGACTGTCTGTTAGACTGTCGGTCACACTGTCGGTCAGAATGTCCGTCAGACTTCTTGTTTACCCCCTCCCCTTCCTCTCCCCCCTCCCTTCCTCCCTCCCCTTCCCGGCCTCCTCCCCCCGTCCCGGCGCCATCACCCTCACTCCCCGCCCCCCCTGCCTTCTTCCCTCCTTTATACCGCTCTAGAACCCCCAGAACCCATTCCTCTGTGTATTCAAAGTCAGAGGGGGCATCTAGTTTCCACCCTATCATCTCTGCCCTATCCAGCAGCATCTGCACCGTTAAACGCCCAGAGGTTTTCAGTTTATCCTCCCCCACCACCCTCTTTCCTGCCCCATCTGTCACAACCTTCACTGATAAGCTCACTGGTGTCTCACCCTGTGCAATTGCTTCCACTTCTTCTCCCTCTCCTACCTTCCCCCTTCCTCCCCCCTCTCTCTCTCCTCCCCCCTCCCCTCCTCCCGTCCCTGCCTCCTCTTCCCCACCCCCCTCTTCCCCCTCCATCACAAAAATCCCGTCCTTTATCCTCCCTTTCCTCACCAACTCCCCCGCTCCTATCGCCTCAATCCACTTCAACAGCGCCGCTTCCAGCCTCACACACTGCACCCGCCCATCCACACCACCCTCCACCGCATAATACTTCTTCTTCTTCCAATCCCACCGCTTTCCTCTCACTCTAAACTCCTCCTCCTTCCCTTTTGGAATATTCATCCACCAATCGCCGTGCTGCCTGATTTTCCGAACCATGGACTCGAACACGGGCGTTCCCCAAGCCTGGAGCAGAGCCTTGGCAAGGAACAAGCTGGAGAGGTTCGGAACGGAGTGTATGACGAGGCAAAGCGCCCGCTTTTGGTGCGTGGTCATTTGGAAGGAGCGGCGGAGCGGCACGGGCAGAGGGGGGCCATGTATCCGCTTGCGCACACCGGGAGTTGGGGTGGTTTCGCTGGGTTGAGAGGGGTGCGAGGGGGGTGAGGAGTGGTTGTCGGGGGTGATAATGGCAGGGGTATTTGCGGCGGGGAGGGCAAGGACGATAGATAGGGCGGGGGGATGCGAGGTGGGTGAGGTGGAGGTGGGGGAAGGAGGTTCTTCTTGTTCTTCTGACAAAGTTTCATGTGTTAGTAAGGCTTCAGGTGGTACAGGTACGGTTTCAGGTGTTGGTACAGTTTCAGGAGTCGGTGCGGTTTCAGGTAAAGGTACAGGTACACTTTCAGGTGCTGGGACAGTTTCAGGTGCTGGGACACTTTCAGGTGCTGGTACAGTTTCAGGTGTTTGCTGTGCAGATGCCGGTTGGGACGTGGGACGGGTACAGAGAAAGTCAGGCAATCGCAGCAGGGGAATGGAGCTTGAACTCTTCTGCTGCTGAAGTGATGGACTGGTTAGTGGCTGCTGGGATGCATTGACTGGCTGCTGCTGCTGCTGCTGCTGCTGTGCCTGCAGCAGCTGCTGCTGCTTCTGCTTCTGCTGCTGCGCATACTTCTGCTGCATCTGCTGCACCATGGGCACTGCCGAGAGGGGCATGCAGTGCATGAGAGGCGACGCAAGGGACGACAGGCTCCCCCTGACAAACCCACTGCCATGCCCATGCCCACCCATAGCAAAACCAGCAGCAGGACTGCTGAAACCAGCAGCAGCACCAGCAGTGGCAGCAGCAGCAGCAGCAGCGGCAGGGGCAGCACTGCTGGCACCAGCAGCATCGAGGTAAATGCCGCAGCCAGTGGCACCACCGTGGTACTTACTAAGCCAATCCGGCCCCAAAATTGCCCTCATAAGGCTTGATACATCTGGATCATCCACCCACTGGTCTAGAGCGTACGGGTCCTCTTCTCGACTGCTGTATGCAGCTGAACGTAGGGTCTCCTCGAACCGCCTCTGCAACACAACCGGATCCCAACATTCCCCCTCGTTCCCCTCGTTCCCTCCTTCCTCGTTTCCCTCCTGCTCGCCCCCCTCTTCATCCCCCTCTCCCTCTTCCTCGTCGCTTCCATCATCATCCTCCTCCCCATCTGACTCGTCCTCCTCCTCCTCCTCCTCCGCCTCCTCATTCCCCTCCCCCCGCTCCCCCTCCCCTCCCTCTCCATTCTCCCACCTCAGTCCCCCTTCCCCTGCCCCCTCTCCCCCTGCCCCCTCTCCTCCTGCTCCCTCAATTCCCCCAACAACCCCGGTCTTCTTCACCCTATATCGCGCCACCACCGCTTCTGCCCACCCAATTCCGTACTTAAAGTTACTCGAAACGCCTAAAGCAGGCCCAAGCTTCCTCCCCATGTCAGAAACCATTTCCAGCGTCAGAAACACAGGAAACGGGCGCTTCTGAGCTGCCCCCCCATCCTTCCCCCCATCCTTCCCCCCATCCTCCCCCTGCTCCTCCAGCACCAATCTCCGCTCTCTAATCCTCCCCCGGCAAACCAGTTCCTCCGCCCCCATCTCCTCAAACCACCGCCCCAACGCCTCTTCCAACCTCGCCCACCTCCCCACCCCCGCTCCAACCACCCGCTTCTTCTTCCTCCTCCTCTTCCTCTTCTTCTTCTTCCCCATATTCCTCCACGCCTTCCCCGGCACTCTGCTCATCTCCTGCTCTTTCCCCCGGGGAATAGTCATCCACCACCACCTATCTCTTACTATGTACGATATAGTGGCGCTGTATATCTGCACGCCCCAAGCCGGCAGCGCAGCTCTGGCGAGGTAGGCTTGGCGCAGGTTCGGCAGGGCCCGTTGCACGAGGCAGAAGGCTCGCCTTTGCCCCGGGTTCAGCACGGAATGGCGGGGCCGGCGCTCCTTCCCCTCCTTGGCCGGCGCTTTGGAGGGATGTGGGGGAGGCGTGGTCTGGGCGGCTCGGACGGCTTGGGCTCGGGCGGCTTGGGCTTGGACGGCTTGGGCGGCTTGGGCGGCTAGGCCGCCCTGAAAGGAGTGCAACGGGTCTGTGGTTCGGGAAGCCGGGGCGGCTTGGGAGGGGAGGTGGAGGAGCGTGGTGGTGTGGCGGGCGGCGGGGGTATTGGGATCACTGGGAGCAGCAAGGCCGACGACGATGGGCATGCGGGAAGAGACGCCGGTGGGTGTGCTGGGGGCTGCACCTGTGGCTGGCGGCGCTTGGGAGGGGAGGTGGAGGAGGGTGGTGGTGTGGGGGGCAGTGGGGGTATTGGGGCGGTTGGGAGCAGCAAGGCCGATGACAATGGGCAAACGGGAAGAGACGCCAGTGGGTGTGCTGGGGGCTGCACCCGTGGCTGGTGGGGCCACACCCATGGCTGGGGTGGCTGCACCTGTGGCTGGTGGGGCCACACCCATGGTTGGGGTGGCTGCACCCGTGGCTGGGGACGCAGCGCATGTGCCTACAGCAACAGCCTCTGTTCCGGAAGTGAGTTGTCCAAGCCTTCGCTTCTTCACACCATCACCACCATCACCATCGCGATCACCATCGCCACCACCATCGCCACCACCATCGTCACCAGCATCGTCCTCCCACCTAACCCGCTTGCTTCCTCTCTTCCTCATTCCTGCTGCAGCTACAGCAGCATGAACACCCTCAGCAGCACCAGCACCGCTAAAACCACAGGCATCATCAGCATCAGAATCAGCATCATCATCATCATCATCATCATCATCAGCATCAGCATGAGCATCATCATCGTCATCAGCACCACTATCAGGATCACCATTAGTCGTCCGTTCCTCTACCCCCAAGGCCCCTCCTGCGCTCTCCCCATCTCCATACCCAATTGTGTGCAACGCCCCTCCTCCATCCCTCCCAGACCCTGTTCTGTAAACTAAATCCACCCCCTCCTCTTCTTCTAGTAACTCAGTCAAGGGATCCGCACACCAAGGGTTATTTACCCTTGAATAATCCCCTTCTCCTACATTTCCTCGATCAGGTTCAGGGATACTCACAACGCCCCCTCCTACTCCTTCACCTCCTTCATCTCCTTCCCTTCCTACCCCTGTACTCGATATTGAGCGTCCCGCTGCTGTACCCCCTGCCGACTTATGCAACACCTGCCAGGCAGCCCATTCAGCAGTCCGAATCTGCATGTTCACAAAACTGATCAACCCACCATCCCATCCCTCCACCTCTCCCTCCTCTTCGTCTCCTTTCTCCATCCCATCCTCTCCCGCTCCTCCCTCTCCTCGCGCGCCTCCCCCATCCTCGTTATCAGCATCCTCGTTACTAGTCTCTGACAGCAGCAGCAGCCCGAACCTTTTCATAAACCTCATAGCCCACGACCTGCCATACCTGAAACCCGGCCGCACATTATACCCCGGACCTATCTCCTTCGCCTTCGCTATAATCTCCTCTCGAGTCACCTCCCTCTTCTCCCGCTCCTCTTCTTGAATCACCCACTCAGCCAATGCCTCCTCCATTCGTAACAGGTTCGGATCTGGCACCGCTGCGGTAACAATCCCGAACCACTTGTCGTAAAACGTACTTATTCTGTCCAGCGACCGAAAGTTCATCCCCGTTTCGTTTCCGTACTTAGCTGTAATCGCTGCAGCAACCACCTTGTTGTCTAAGTTAGGCCGTGCACGTTTCACCACAGAAATCTCGTACCGAATCCGGATATCAAACGGAACCTCGTTCCAAGGAACACGCCCCGAGCCTGAGTCCCCACCCTGAGCACCACCACCAGCAGGACCCTCTTCCCCCGAACCTGCTCCATCAGGCCCGGCATCAGTCCCTGAGCCTGCACCTCCGGCCAGATTAATCTCCTCCCCTCTCGAATTCAACCCGTGGTCCTTTAAAAGCCGGAGCATCCAATCCGTGCTGTAAATATGCTCTGCCGGGACGCCATACGACGGCCCGATCGCCATCGCATAATCCACCATTTCTTTCATTGTCACGAACCTCTTAACTCGGTTTAGAATATTCTGCGGTTTCAGCGACTCACGGCGCCTCCTTTCGCGTATCCACTGCAGCAGATCTGCTTCCATTTCCGGGTTCTCGTAACGCTTGCGCCAAAAATTGTGCCACTTGCTTTTATCGGACGGGTCGGTTTTGGCGCGAACGATAATCATCTCCACCTTTGCCTCCCTCAGCGTCACTCCGAAGTGCTTCGCGACTGCACGTGCGATCTGCTCGCTGGTGAGAAAGGGGTGGGCTTTTTTGAGAGCCAAGATTTCCCGCTCAATTTTCTGGTCCACCACGATTCGTTTGTTCTTCCGCTTCCACGGACGAGGTTCGGATCCCGAAGCCACAGGTTCGGACGGCGGTTCGGAACGCCCTGCCGAGCCTGTCGCTGCTGCAGACGTGGCTGCTGGCTGCTGCTGATTGGCTGACGAAGGCGCAGCAGGATCAGTCTGCATTTCGCCTCCACCAGACCCGTCATTCTGATCGAAACCTGACGGCTCCTGCTGTCGCATCTTAAAGCGAACGAAAGCCAGTCAAATGAGGTTGTCAAACGAGACTACCAAGGGAGATAAAGAGAGAGAGAAAAAAACACCCATCAGCCCCGCAATCGTAGCTGCTGGACTACAATGAATCGCGTGGCTCTTCTCACGAGTATAACAACTTAGACGCAACCATAGCACTCCGGCAAGCTGTCACGACGATATGTAAATCACGACGATGTCACGACCGAGCCTGAAATGCTAACGAACCTAACTACAATAAGGACGAGCCTAGCTAAAATAGGGACGAGCCTAGACCTACGACATAACTGAATCTACGACTCGACTAGAATCACGACGACGAGCCTAAAATAAACGAACGAGCTTGCCACTTCTAATATATCAAGGTAAGCTCGGCGTTGTGTCAGAATTGCAGCTGACTGGGAGCGACTTGAGAAAGATTCAAACAACCATGGGTTTGGCGGGAACATTGAGAGGGGAGATAAGCAGCTGAGGAACAAGAAATAGAGAAGAAACCTTACGTTGGGCTCATTATCAGGCAGAACTGGAGACACATATGGAATACTAGCTCTTCAGCAAGAATGCAGGAAAAGTAGTTGCCTTCGGATGCAGGGTTGACTGATCTCTCCATAATTCCGTCGCACAAGACGGAAAAGAAGATCGACGGTTGACATGACCTCTCTGATGACAGGCGGATGAAGTTGACGGTAAAGAAGCACCAAGGTGGAGAGATAAACTCCTGCTTCGCCGCAGAAAAACAAACCTCATCATTCGCAGGGTGAGGTGCTAAACATCGATATTTTCGTCGCTCTAGGCGAAAGTCGAAACATTTTCGGCACCTGTGTAGTGTATGTAATCGACGGTTAATCGAAAGGTACTCGAGGACTGAGGCTGATGTGATCGACGGCATCCATGCGATGGAAACCGTGAATGGATTTTGAGAATATTCAGAAAAATTGGGTTTTCGAGGCGGTGTTTTTTAGGGGGGTGGCCTTTGGGTGAACCAGCGCCAGAGAGTCAGAAGAAAGCATTCAGAAAGAATTCGAGACGGAAGACCAAAATTCACCTCACCTCACAACTTATCGTTAGTTGCACATTTACACTAATGGAGCCTAAAAGCCCAGAAGAGAAAAACTAATTACAATTTAGTTATCACACTAGACAAAGCACCCTAAGGAACCGGCATGATGCAAGCATGGCTAACATCAATCAGCTACAACTAGCACATCGTCATCGTCATCCTTGGACCCACCAGCAGCAGCAGAAACATTACCATCATTATTATCACCGCCGTCGACTTCCACGACATCATCATCATCATCATCAAGATCACCACCAGCCGCACCAGAAGCAGCAGCCGCAGATCGACCAAGCGGAGATGAGGACGCAAACTGTCCGAGCAGCAGTTTTGACATGGAGCTCGGGGCAGGAGGATCACTCAACGCACGTGCCCCACTTGGCCCCGCAGCAGCACCAGTGGCAGCAACAGAAGCAGCACTAGCACCAGCAGCAGCAGCCATGCTCGTCGTATCCTGCTGAAGTGCCAGCAGTTTTGACATGGAGCTTGGGGCAGGCGGATCACCCAACCCACCTGTTGCACTTGGCCCTGCAGCAGCACCAGCCACAGCAACAGAACCACCAGCAGCAGAAGCAGCAGCCGAGCTCGTGGTGTCCTGCTGAAGTGCCAGCAGCGTGCACATGGACGGTGTGAGTGGCATCGCATGGCGCGTTGCGGCGCGAGTCGCAGGGCTATCCTGCGACAGCGGTCCATCGGGGCTAACTTGTGTAGATGGACGAGCAGGAGGCTGTGTTGAGGGGGTGCTTTCGGGTATGGCAGTGGCGATATGGGGCTGACCTGAGGGGCTATTTGAGGGGCTATTGTGACCTTCCGACAATTCCTCTTCACCGCATCTCAAGGCCTGCTCCCCTCCATCTCTGAGCGACTGCTCCTCCTCTCCTTGCGTACCCTGCCCCACTGGAATCTCCGCTATAGCACTCTCCCCTATAGCACTCTCCGCTATAGCACTCTGCGCCATCGCAGCTTGTGCCGCAATGCTTTGCGCAATCATACTGTGTGCCCATGGCGGTTGCACGTCCTTCTTCCTCGCCCTGCGCAGCGCCCTCATACGCCGTTCCCGCTTGCTTTGACCCACACTTAGACTTTGGCTCCTCAGAACTCTCCCGTGGTAACCAATCGCTACTCTCCCCTCCCGCCGTCTGCCTGGCACCTGCCTGACTGCTGACGGCTCAGCAGCAGCACCAGCAGCAGGAGCAGTGGCACCACCACCACCACCACCATCACCAACACTTAACCCAGCAGCGGCAGCGGCAGAAGAAGAAGCAGCAGCGGCAGCAGAAGAAGCAGCAGCGGCAGCAACAGCGGCAGTGCGGTGCCTCCTAGCCATAGCAGCTCTAACAGCCGCAGCAGCAGCAGCACGGGTTCTGGTGGCAATACCTGTAGGAGCAGCCGTAGCAGCAGGCAAAGCATGGGTGCTTGCCACTGATGCTGTACCACGAAATCCCGTCTTCACAGCAGCACGGGTTCGTCCAGTCACGGCTGCAACACGAAACCCAGCCTTTCCAGTGACAGCTGTAGCGTAAAATCCTGCCTTGACGGCAGCACGTGTTCGTCCAGTCACGGCTGTAGCACGGAATCCCGCCTTTCCAGTCGCAGCTGTAGCATAGAACCCAACCTTCAAAGGAGCACGGGTTCGGCCAGTCACGGCTGTAGCACAAAATCCTGCCTTGACAGCAGCACGGGTTCGTCCAGTCACGGCTGTAGCAGAACGTGTGTCAACATCCGCAGTAGCACTCGCAGTTGCTGCTGCAGCAGCGCGTGTCCACACACCTACAGCTGTAGCAGCAGGCACAGCTGTAGCAGCAGGATCAGCTGTAGGGGCAGAGACAGCTGTAGCAGCAAGCGCAGCTGTAGCAGCGGGCAGAGCTGTAGGTGCAGCTGTAGCAGCAGTATAATCAGGAGTGAGAAGCTGAACAGTGGTTGGAGGAGCAGGAGCAGTACTGATCACAAGAGCAGGAGCAGCGGTGGGTGCAGCGGTGGGCGCAGCAGTGGGCGCAGCGGTGGGTGAAGTGGTGGGTGCAGCAGCAGGTGCACAGAAGGCAAAGGTGGGGGACGATGCGGCTGGGAGGGCGAGAATCACTCCAGACCTCTGGGACAAGGGGGAATGCAACCCTTCTGCTGCTACTATTCCTGTTGCCCTTGCTCCTGGTGCTCCTGCTGCTGATGCAAGCAGAGAAGCATGCAGAGTGTGCCGGTTGGCACTTGGAGTGTATGGGTCAGCAGGCAGATTGTGCCGGCTAGCAGTTAAAGAGTGACGGCCAGCAGGCAGAGTGGATTGGTTAGCAGTTGGGGTGTATCGATCAGCATCAGTGGAAGGCGGATTGGCTGGCAGGCGGGGAGCAGAACCGGCAGCAGAACCAGCAGCAGCAGAAGAAGGGGCGTTGTAGTTAGGGCGTCGCCGGAGTACCCTGAGACCGTAAGGTGGTTCCCAATGATTCTCCTGAAAGGCTCTGGTATGACCCAATGAAGAAGGTGCAATAGAACGAACAGCAGCAGCAGGAGTGGCTGCAGGAGCAGGACGAACAGTAGCAGCAGCAGGAGTGGCAGGACTGGCAGCATTGGCAGTGGCAGCGGTACCAGCACCAGCAGCAAAAGAGTTTCTGGAAGAGAAGTTTGAGAGAGGGCCTCTAGGCCCGTGCAGGAAGCTTAGGAGGGAGTTGCGGGAGGGGAGCGGAGGTGCAGAGGAGCGGGGAGGTGCAGAGGAATGGGGAGGTGAGGAGGGAGGCGAGGTGGGGAGAGGTGTGGAGGTGCAGAGGAGAGGAGAAGGTGCATAGGAAGGGTGATGAGACCCCCCTGCAGCAGGAATCCGCGCAAGTGAAGGGCGGGCGGCTGAAGGAGCACCAGTGGCAGTTGCGGCAATGAGGCGAACAGTGGCAGCAAGAGGAGCAGAAGCAGGAGCAACAGCAGAGGGGCGGGGAGGCTGCACGCGCGTGGAGTGAGTAGGCTGGGTGGCGAGCGAGGCAATCAGCTGCTGCCGTTGGCCCGGCAGGGCTGCAGCACCAGCACCTGCAGCAGAATTACCAGCAGCAGCAGCAGCAGAATTACCAGCAGCAGTGCCACCAGTGCGCTGCAGTGGCAGCTGGGAAGCTGCCATAGCCGAAATCTGCTCCCATAAGTTTGTGGGCATAGACGCACCAGCAGCAGCACGGCCACCTGCCGCAGCAGCAGTGGAGCGCGGGAGCTGCATTGGCTGCTGCTGGGAATGATTAGCCCCCGAAGCAATCTGCTGCAGCAGGGCTGGTAGAAGCGCAGCAGCAGCAGCAGCAGTGGGATTTTGCAGCTGAGGGGAATGAGCAGTCGCCTGTGAGGTTAACGAGGCGATCTGCTGCAAGAGGTTAGGGAGAAAAGAGGCAGCAGCGGTAGGGCGCGGTTGCTGCTGTGTTTGTTGCTGCTGCGGTTGCTGCTGCTGCTGCTGCTGCTGCTGATGCTGCACCAACAGTGACCCCAGAGCGAGTGCGAAATCGGGACCAAAGGACTGGGTGACGTTGCGTGCGAGGGACAGCAATTCTGAATTTGGCCCCGAGGAGGCTGCGAGTTGGGTTGTGAGAAGGTGGGTAAGGAGAGCTGCAGCATCTCTTTCTCCTGCTCCTGGAGAGAGTGCTGCTGCTTGATTCGCTGCTGTTTGTTTGGCTGCAGAAGCAGAAGCAGCGGCAGGAGGAGCAGGAGCAGGAGCAGGAACAGGAGCAGGAACAGGAGCAGGAGCGGGAGCAGGGGAAGCACGATCAGTAGGGGCGACTGGGGCAGCAGCAGCAGTGGCAGCAGCAGTAGTAGCAGCAGGAGAAGCAGCAGCGACAGTATCAGTAGCAGTAGTTGCACCTGCTGCTACTGCAGAAGCAGCACCTGTGGCAGCAGCATCATCTGTAGCAGCAGCAGCACCTGTAGCAGCAGCAGCACCTGTAGCAGCAGCAGCACCTGTAGCAGCAGCAGCACCTGTAGCAGCAGCAGCACATGTAGCAGGAGCAGCACCTGTAGCAGCAGCAGCACCTATAGCAGGAGCACCAGTGGCAGCAGCAGGATCTGTAGCGTCACCAATCTCAGTGAGACTGAGACGGGTACCAGTGGCGTGCGGAGCGGTGGGGTGGGAAAAGAGAGCGGTGCTGCTGAAAGGATCGTTGGAAGAACCAGGGTCAGGCAGAGGGGCACCAGTGGTGGGTGGCACTTGGGAGTTTGGGAACAAAAACTGTGCGAGGAGAGGGGGCAGCCCTAAAGGAGCCTGCCCACCCATCAGACCCTGCTGCTGCTGTGGCTGAGCTTGAATGCTGTTGTTGGTGTTCATGTGCTGCTGCTGCGGGTATGCTGTTGATGGTGGTGCACTGTTGTACGTGTGCTGTGTCACTGTGGCAAAGCGTGTGCCGAACGGCGTTTCCTGCTGCGCCCCGAACTGGATCGTGGTCACCTGGGCCTGGGGAGCACCAGAGGCAGGGGCAGCACCAGCAGCAGCAGCAGCGGCAGGGAAAGGAGGTTGAGGGAAGGAGGATTGGGGGAAGGCGGATTGGGGGAAGGCAGGATGCATCGGCATTACTCCTGGTGCCTGCTGCTGCAGCATACTGGTGAACGCCTTTTGAGGCGCCTCAAAAGTCGTCTGCTGCAGCATACTGGTGAACGCTGCAAGCGCATCCCCCCTTACACCCATCTTCTCCTTTCCCTTCTTCTTTCCCCTCTTCTCCCTCTCCTTCCCCTTCTCCCTCTTCCTTTTCTTCTCTTTCTCCTTCTTCTTCTCCCTCTTCCTCTTCTTCCTTTCCTTCCTCTCCTTCCTCTGCTGCCTCCTCCTCTCCCTCGCCTCCTCTTTTGTATGATCGCCCCACTCTGCTGCTTCTCCCTCCGTTTCCCCACCTGTCTCCGTCTCGCCCCCTGTTGTCCCTCCTCCCCTCGCTTTCCCTCCCCTCCCTCCACCACCCCCCCACTCTTCAACCTCTGCATCCTCCTCCTCCTCCTCCTCCACCTCCACCACCTCATCCTCCTCATCCCCCTCTACCTCCTCTTCCTCCTCCTCATACCCCTCCTCCACCTCCTCCATCTCCACCTCCTCTTCCTCTTCTTCCTCCTCTTCCTCCTCCTCTACAGCAACCACAGAAGCATCTTCCAGCACACTCCACGCGTCCCGCATGCCTCTCACCCCTACAAGCCCTGAAAACTGCCACCACCGCCAAAACTCCTCAGGCGTTTTGATCTTCCCGGCTGCCATAACAGCTGCAACTGCCGCATCCCTCTCCTCCCTCCCTCCCGCCTCTCCCTCTCCTCCATCTGCTTCCTCTTCCTCCCCTCTCCCCTCCTCTCCCCCCTCCCCTTCCCCCCTCTTCCTCTTCCTGCCCCTGTCCTTATCCAAACCCGTGCCCGAACCGACTTCAAAATCCGTTGAAACAGGCTCGGGAGACGCCTTGTCGAGGTTTCCCCACGCTGCCTGCAGGTTCGGAAGAACGTCCGAGGCTCCGCCGACCCGGATTCCTGCCAGCTCAGCAACAATATCTTGAAGATACGCTGGGATTGGTCCAGGCAAGTTGGCTAGGTTGAGCGAGTTTAGAAGCGAGGCTGCTACACTCCCTCCTGCCACTCCCCCTGCCACTCCCCCTGCAGCTGCCCCTGCCGCTCCCCCTGCTGCTCCCCCTACCCCTCTTTCTGCTGCTGCTCTCTCTCCCTCCCCTAGCCCGCCCTCCCTCCCTGCCCCAACACTCAGGCCAAAACAACCACCCCCATCATCATCACTATCACCACCACCACCATCACCACCGCCATCATCATCAGAATCATTCGCTCCCAAGCCTCCTGCACCTTCCCCTTCCTCCCCTCTCTCCCCTCCCTCGCCCCGCTCCCTCTCCCCAACCAATTGAACCCCCTCACCTTCCCCTCCCCCTCCTCCTCCCCCTCCTCCTCCCTCTCCTCCTCCCTCTCCTCCTTCCTCTCCTCCTCCTGCTCCTGCCCTTTCCCCACCTCCTCCCGCTCCTCCTCCCGCTCCTCCCGCTCTCTCCTGCATCTCCATCATCTTCTTCTTCCTCTTGTTAAACGCCCCAGCCAGCACCACCTCCCGAAAGCGCTGCTGCCGCTGCAGCTCCAACTCTTCTGCTACCTTCCCCAGCGCCTCGATCTCCCCTGGTATCAGGTTAAAGCCCTCGTCGAACAGGTCCCACGACAGCTCTGCTGGCACGAGTGCCTCCCCTGCTCCTGCTGCTGCTGCTGCTGCTGCTGCGTCACCAGCTGCAGCAGCAGCAGCGTCCCCAGTGGCAGCAGAAGCAGGACCAGCAGCAGCAGCAGCGCCAGCAGCACCAGCAGCAGCGCCAGCAGCAGCGCCAGCAGCACCAGCAGCAGCGCCAGCAGCACCAGCAGCAGCGCCAGCAGCACCAGCAGCAGCGCCAGCAGCAGCGCCAGCAGCACCAGCAGCAGCGCCAGCAGCAGCAGCAGCAGCGCCAGCAGCAGTGGCAGCGCCAGCGCCAGCAGCAGTACCACCAGCAGCAGAAGCAGCCGCGCCTGCTCCTTCTCCTCCTCCTCCTCCTCCTCCTCCTCCTCCTCCTCCTCCTCCTCCTCCTCCTCCTCCTCCTCCTCCTCCTCCTCCTCCCGCTCCTGCCTCCCCCCTTGCTCCCTCCCCTTCGCCCCCTTCCCCCCCAGTCTGCCCCCCCCCTCCCCCACTCCTTCCCCCATCCCCACCCTCCTTATCCCCCTGACCCTCAAACAGAGGAGCCCATTTCTTCCACCTGGGAGACGCCTTTACAGCCCAGTGGTCCATGAAGCCCCACCGGTGCATGAGACCCGCCACCCAGGCAAAGGTGATACTCCTGTGGGGGTAAGGGAAGAGGAGTAGGGAAGAATGAGGGAGCCTCTCAGTGCTTACTCCACCTGGGAGACGCCTTTACAGCCCAGTGGTCCATGAAGCCCCACCGGTGCATGAGACCCGCCACCCACGCGAAGGTGATCGACCTGTGGGGGTAGGGGAAGAGGAGTAGGGGAGAATGAGGGAGCCTCTCAGTGCTTACTCCACCTGGGAGACGCCTTCACAGGCCAGTGGTCCATGAATCCCCACCGGTGCATGAGACCCGCCACCCACGCGAAGGTGATACTCCTGTGGGGGTAGGGGAAGAGGAGTAGGGGAGAATGAGGGAGCCCCTCAGTGCTTACTCCACCTGGGAGACGCCTTTACGGCCCAGTGGTCCATTCATGAAGCCCCAGCGATGCATGAGACCCGCCACCCACGCGAAGGTGATTGAACTGTGGGGGGTATAGAGGGGTTAGGAAAGGTTGAAGGGAGTGGATTCTGTCAGATTCTGGTATGGAAGTCTTGCAATGTTTCCTCCATCGGACAGACACACGCCCGCACGGCCGGTGGTTCATGAAGCCCCAGCGATGCATGAGGCCGGCCACCAAATGATAAAAGAGATGTTTTGAGACGTCTCAAAACATCTCTTTTATCACACGGCCGGTGGTTCATGAAGCCCCAGCGATGCATCAGGCCGGCCACCCAAACGAAGGTGATGCTTCTGCGGGTTGGAAAAGGGGGAGTGTGAGGGATTGGATGCTGTCAGGTTAGCTCCCACCACCCCACCGCATGCTCACCTGGAGGGGACTTTTGATTCGACTCAAAAGGTGACTTTTGTGTCGTGTGCCATGGTAACGAGGTGTCTTTTGAGTCGACTCAAAAGGTGGGAAACGGGGAGTGTGAGGGATTGGATGCTGTCAGGTTAGCTCCCACCACCCCACCGCATACTCACCTGGAGGGAGGGAAGCCAATCAGCGGTGCCACCTTGTTGGCATAATGTTTGAGATTGATTTTGAGAATTCTCAAAATCAATCTCAAACACAGCGGTGCCACCTTGTTGGCATACTGCACCACCGCCTCAAAATGCACCATGATCTGATCTAAGCTGCCACAGCAACCCTATAAACGCCTCATAACAGCAAGCACACCCCCACTACTATCAACTCGCAATTAAGCAAATCACAACCCCCACTGCATGCTCACTTGGAAGGGGGGAAGCCAAAGAGCGGTGCCACCTTGTTGGCATAATCCACCACCGCCTCAGGATGCACCATTATCTGCCGTGCTGCGACAACCCTCCTTGAGCGCCTTGCATCAACAAGCACACCCCCCTACTACCAACTTGCAACGGAACAAAGCCTACCCCTATCCCACTGCATGCTCACTTGGAAGGGGGGAAGCCAAAGAGCGGTGCCACCTTGTTGGCATAATCCACCACAGCCTCAGGATGCACCATTATCTGCCGCGGCAACCCTGCCTCCTCTTCTTCCTCCTCATCCCTTTCCTCCCCTGCGCCCTGAAAGCCCATCCTCACTCCTCCGCCCAGCACGCCCGGTTGAGCTGCTGCGCCTCTCCCGCTGCCCTGCGCCTCCCCTTTGTCCAGATCCGCCAGGGCCTTCTTCATTGCGTCTGAAACTGCCTTTTCCAGCCGCATGAACTTGGTGTACTGGGTAGGGCAGGGGGGTGACAGGCGGTAGGGGGGAACACAGAAGAGGGCAGAGGCAAGGCCCGAAAGGGAAAGAAAGGGGAAGTGTCGATAAATCCGCCAGGGCCTTCTTCATTGTGTCTGAAACTGCCTTTTCCAGCCGCATGAACTTGGTGTACTGGGCAGGGTGAGGGGGGAGGGGCAGAGGAAATGGGTGTGTGAATACATGTATGGATGTATGCATGTATGCATGTATGGATGTACAGATGTATGCATGCACGCATGCATGTACGGACGTATGCATGTATGCATGCATGTATGCATGTATGCATGCATGTGCAAGAAGGGCGTTCACAGTCGCCAGGTTCCCTCACTGCGTTTGTCAGTGCCTTTCCCGAAACCTCATCGGTCCCTCGCACCTGCTCACTACTCCCTCTGACACACCACTGACCTGCTTCATCTTGGGTAGCACTTCGCGCCCCTCCCTGTACGCATCTCGCATCACCTGCGACTGGTGTAGTGCCCAGTGCCCAATGCGCAGTGCCTATGCTCCCTCCCAACCCAACCCACTCCTCCCATCTTCCCACACCCACCCACCACTCACCTGCTTCATCTTTGGCAGCACTTCACGCCCCTCCCTGTACGCGTCTCTCATTACTTTTGCCTGCCACCGCACCTTGTCCTCCCGCGCCATGTAGTCCGCGATGACTGTGCGACTTGTGTCCACGCCATACCTGCACAGAACAGAGAGCCATGACAGGCAGAACAGGAGACAACAGGAGGGCGGTGAGAGGGGGATGAGAGACGTGGGAGAGAGACGAGTGTCACCGCACCTTGTCCCCCCATGACATTTAGTCCGCGATGACTGTGCGACTTGTGTCCACGCCATACCTGCACAGAACAGAGAGCCATGACAGGCAGAACAGGAGACAACAGGAGGGCGGTGAGAGGGGGATGAGAGACGTGGGAGAGAGACGAGTGTCACCGCACCTTGTCCCCCCGTGACATTTAGTCCGCGATGACTGTGCGACTTGTGTCCACGCCATACCTGCACAGAACAGAGAGCCATGACAGGCAGAACAGGAGACAACAGGAGGGCGGTGAGAGGGGGATGAGAGACGTGGGAGAGAGACGAGTGTCACCGCACCTTGTCCCCCCGTGACATTTAGTCCGCGATGACTGTGCGACTTGTGTCCACGCCATACCTGCACAGAACAGAGAGCCATGACAGGCAGAACAGGAGACAACAGGAGGGCGGTGAGAGGGGGATGAGAGACGTGGGAGAGAGACGAGTGTCACCGCACCTTGTCCCCCCGTGACATTTAGTCCGCGATGACTGTGCGGCTTGTGTCCACGCCATACCTGGAAACGGAGGGGGAAGGTGGGGGGAAGAGTGGGGGAGGGACGAGTTTCACCTCTGCTCCGCCTCCTGCCACTGCACCTTGACCTCCCGCGCCATATAGTCCGCACCTTGACTGTGCGGCTTGTATCGACGCCGTACCTGGGCAACAAAGGGGGAGAAGAGGAAGCAGGGTAGGGAGAGCATGAGGGGTGAAATTCGCATCACCTGCGCCTGCCACCGCACCTTGTCCTCCCGTGCGGCTTGTATCGACGCCGTACCTGCACCACACAAAAGGGGAGAGCAGAGGGGACATTAGTGGCAAAGGGAGAGGAGAGCATCACCTGCGCCTGACACCGCACCTTGTCCGCGCCATGTAATCTGCTATCACACTGCGGCTTGTATCGACGCCGGATCTGCACCACACAAAAGGGGAGGGCAGAGGGGACAATAGTGGCAAAGGGAGAGGAGAGCATCACCTGCGCCTGACACCGCACCTTGTCCGCGCCATGTAATCTTCTATCACCGTGCGGCTTGTATCGACGCCGGATCTGCACCACACAAAAGGGGAGGGCAGAGGGGACGGCAGTGGTAAAGGTGGGGTGGGGGGAAGAGTGGTGGTGCGGAGGAGGAGCATTAACACTGCCTGCCACCTGACCTTTACCTCTCCCCGCCCAACAGGTCTGCTATCACCGTTCATTCAAGATGTACCTGCCTTGAACGGCCCGTTTGACAGCAGAGTGTGGCAGGTGTATCAAGACGTACCGGACTCGAATGGCACGTTTGACAGCAACGCGTGGCAGGCGTTTCAAGGCATACCTGCGAACGGCCCGTTTGACGGCAGCGCCAGCAGGTGATTCAAGACGCACCTGGCTTGAACGGCCCATTTGACAGCAGCGTCTGGCAGTTGTTTCAAGAATCCACCTGGCTTGGACGGCCCGTTTGCCAGCAACGCGTGGCAGGCGTTTCAAGGCATACCTGCGAACGGCCCGTTTGACGGCAGCGCCAGCAGGTGATTCAAGATGCACCTGGCTTGAACGGCCCATTTGACAGCAGCGTCTGGCAGTTGTTTCAAGAATCCACCTGGCTTGGACGGCCCGTTTGCCAGCAACGCGTGGCAGGCGGCGTCTCAAGGCATACCTGGCTTGAACGGCCCGTTTGACAGCAGAGTGGGGAAGGTCCTGCCTGGCCCGGGCGAGGGAGATGAGGGCAAGCTTCCACGTCACCAGCACCTCCTGGTACTGCTTGCGCTGCTGCTTCTTCTTCCCTCCCTCCCTCCCACTCTCCCTCCCACTCTCCCTTCCACTCTCCGGTCCAGTTTCCCTGCCGCTTTCCCCACCACCCTCCCCACCACCCTCCCCGCCACCTCCCTCCCCTCCTCCTCCCGCGCCCCCATCCGCTTCCCCGCTCTGCTTCTTCTTCCTTCCTCTCTTCTTCCCAGTGCCCTGCGCCGCTGTCTTTGCTCCACCACTACCCGCCCCTACAACCCCTACCCTCCTCCTCGGCCGCCCGGTCTTCTTCCTCTTCCACCTCTTCTTTAACAACCCTTCAACTCCCATTTCCCCGTCCCACCGCTCGTCCCCCTCTCCCTCCTCCTCCTCCCCTCTCCGCACCCGTGCCTCCCTTTCCGCCACAAACTGAGCCACCACCTTCAGAAGCTTATCAGCTGCAGTGTTCCAAATCTTGTTCCGCCTCACTGTCTTCTCATCCCGTTGCTTTCGCACCAGCCCTGTCACTACATTCCCCAGATGCATGTTCACATCCATGCCTAGAAACCCACCCCCTTCCCCTACCCCTTCCCCCTCCCCTTCCCCTTCTACGTCCGTCCCTTCTCCTCCCCCATCCGTGGTGTTCCCCTCTCCACCGTCCGTTGTGATCCCATCGCCACCGTCCGTTGTCCCGCCGCCCTCACCGTACCCCTCCCGCCCGCCATTGTCACTCTCTGTACCATCACTCTCTCCTACCCCAGACGTATTCCCTCCTCTCCCTCTCCCACTGCTCCTTCCAGCACCATCACCACCACCACCACCACCGCCACCATCACCACCACCACCACCAGCAGCACCACCATCCCCAGTCGCACCACCACCCTTGCGGTTCGCACGCAGGTCCTCTTTCGTTCGCCACTTCAACCCATGCCTCCCCGCAAAGTTCAGAATCCACGACATGTGGAACTTGAACTTGGGATTCTTTTCCGCAATCCCGAAACTCGGAGCCAGCTTCTGCGCATATGCCAGAATATCCTCGTACAGCAAATTCTCCTTCCCATACTTCGCCCGCATCTCCCGCACCCACGCCGCGAGTGCCTCTTCGAATTCCGGGAACTCAACCCGCCTCGGGACAGGCCTTTTCGGCTTGTTCAGGTCGGCGTTCAAGTACTGGTAGCTCTTGCGGAGGGTATACCGGAGGGCTGCAGGGGAAATACTCGCTGCAATCACAGGACCGCAGGACTCCAGTATAATGTGGATGATCTCTTGGTTTGTGAGAGACGGACGAGCTTCCTTGAGTAGACAGATTGCCTTTCGCATCTTGATGGTTCGCACACACGTTGTGATTTTCTTGTTCTTTTCCTTAAACTCCTTCTGCTCTTCCAGAAGCCGGTAATATTCCGTATATACCGGGTTAGTCTGCAGCTCCTCTTTACTAATCACCCTGCCCGTGATCGGATTCCGGGGCAGAACCTCGATCTGCGCCGCATTTGCGAGGTCAGCCTCGGTGATCACCCTCCGAGCCTCCGCCGCAGCTCTGGCTTCAGCCATGGCGAGCTCTACTAGCTTCGGATCGGGCTGGTAACCCTCCGAGTCTTCACCGTCATCCCCATAGTCTAGCGAGTTGGCAGTGTTTGTAGTGTTTGCAGTGTTGGCGGTTCCTCCGATCATGCTGTTTGCAGCAGTGAATGGGGCTGATTCGTTCAAGGAGCTCGCTGCAAAAGCGGCCGAGTCGAGAGGCTGGTGGGAAGAAGGACCAGCACCCACGGCACCACCACCACCATCACCACCATCACCAGCAACACCGTCAGCTGTCCGAACCACCACCATCTCTCCTCCCTCCAGCTCCTCAAACAAGTCACCTGGGATAACATCATCTTGATCCCCCTCTCCCACTCTCGCCTGCCCCCCTTCCTGCCCATACCCCAAACCACTCTCCTGCCCATACCCCTGCCCTGTCCCCTGCCCGTACCCCTGGCCCTGCCCGTTCGCCTGCCCTGTCATCTGCCCGTGTCCCTGCCCTATCTCCTGCCCGTACCCCTGTCCAGTTCCCTGAGCATACCCCCCTTGCTGCGCATATCCCCCTCCTCCTAGCTCCTGCCCATGCATCCCTCCCCCAACCTGCCCATACACATCCCCCTGCTGCCGCTGCTGCTGCTGCTGCTGCTGCTGCTGCTGCTGCTGCTGCTGCTGCTGCTGCTCCCACTCCGCCCCTTCCCCCAAAACCCCCCCATCGCCCCTCCCCGCCCCTCTCCCCCTCCCCCTCCCTCTCCCTGTCCCAGTCCCCGACTTCCTCCCCAGCAGGTTCTCCGCCCACCAGTCTCTGGGCTTCCGTCCCTTCTGGTTCGCCCGGGACTTAAACAGCTCCTGCCCAAACATCTGATCCGCTAACTCAATCAAGGAAGGCCCAGCAGAGTCATCCTCGTTAGGGTAGTCCTCACACGCCGCATCTATAGCCTCCTGGGAAAATCCCAAGTGCGACAACACGCGGTACACCCACGCCCTTGTGTACTTGAAAGTTGGGGGAAACCCGAAAGAATACCCCAGCTCCTTGGCCTTCTCAATCACCTGCTCGCTCGGCACACCACCGACCCTCTGCTGCTCCTCCCCGAACCACCGCGCCAAGGCTCCCTCCATACCAGACTGGTCCGGCGGCTGGTTGGTTCGGTTGTGCCCTTTCCCGCCCAGCATCGCCGCCCACTTATGCGGCTTCTGAATAATATCCGCCACCCGAGTCGAGTAAATCCTGATCCCCGGATACTTCGTTTTAAGCACTTGAACAATCTTCACTAGTGTGATTCCCGGCCTGTCGCGCCGAAGCTCACAAATCTCGGCCTTTAGCGTCACTGGGATGAAATGGCGGCGTTTTCTCTCAGGGTCCCTCAGTCGCACTGGCCGGAACTCCCCATCCACGTCGGTATCCGACCCGTCTGTTGCTGCTGCCGCCGCCGCTGCTGCTTCTGCTGCTGCTATTGCTGCGGCTGCCGCTGCTGTGCCTGGCCCAGGGGCAGCCGCACCTGCTTCTCCTCCTCCTGCTCCTGCTGGCAACATTTCCTCTTCCCCTCCTCCAAATCCTCCTGTTTCCCCTCCTTCCTCTCCTTCCCCTCCTGCTGGCACCGCCTCAGCTCCATACTCTTCTCCCTCCATCCCACCACCCATCCCCATCTCGCCATCTGCAAAGCCTGTGGCATCAAGATCGAAACCCCCTACACCAAGCCCCCCCTCCATGCCCCCTGCTTCTCCCCCCACCGCCACTCCCCCCTCTGCTCCAACCCCATCCGCAACACCAGCAGCAGCACCAGCAGCGGCAGCGCCTGCTGCTCTGGCAGCAGCAGCCCGGGCGGCTGCCAGTCCTGCAGCATACCCAGCAGCGTAGATCGCAGACATATCACCATCCCCCCCAACTTCGCCCCCAACCGCCTCCTGTCCACCCACCTCTTGAAGAGGAATCTGAAGTGCAGAAACACCCCCCATTATCGCCTGCACAGGGTCTGGAACAGCAACTGCCTGCTCCTGCAGTCTCACTACCTGCAGCTCTTCTCCTCCTGCCCTCCCATCTGACGCTGCTGCTGCTTCTTGTCCCCTAGCTCCTACTGCTGCTGCCCCTACTGCTGCCCGTCGCCCTTGCCGGGACCCCTTCCCCCTTCCCTGCCCCCCTGCCCCACCCCCCGCGCGCCTCCCCCTCGCCACCCCTCTCCCCGCGCCCGTTCCCTGCCTTCCATCCTGCCTTCCAGCCCCGGTCGCAACATCTGTAGCACCAGCAGCAGCTGTAGTAGCGACTGTAGCAGGAACAGTACTCGCAACAGCTGTAGCAGCAGCTGTAGCCGTGGCTGCAGGAGCGCGAATACTCATACTCTGACGCTGCTGCTGCTGCTGCTGCTGGCCATACTCCTGATCACCATACTCTGCAGTCTGGTGGTAACCCTGTGCTTGTCCGTAAACCTGCCCCTGCTGATTCGTCTGCTGATAACCCTGCCCAGCTCCATAACCCTGACCGTGACCCCCCCCTGCCACTACCCCCGAATCGTAACCTCCCCCTTGAGCATGCCCCTGGGCTTGCTGGTATGCGAGACTCGCAGTCGTTGTAACAGCTGCTGTGGTAACCACTGCCGGCGCAACAGCAGCAGCAGTCGCAGCAGTAGCAGCAGCCTCGTACCCATGGTAACCCTGCAGCCCGGCTGTCGTTACAGTATCGCTGTTGTAACCAGCGTTACTACCACCACCCACCGGCAGCAAACTCCCCTGGTCGAAACTCTCCACGTGGGTGTGAGCGTTAACTACAGCAGCAATGGTGCGATTCCACTCTTGGGTATGAGATTGCTCCTGACTCGCAACATTCGCACTTGCAACTTGCCCCTCTAGCGCATCCAGCCACCACTCTCGCTGCGTCTGTCGCACAGGCTGCTCCTGCCGCTGCTCCTGCCGCTGCTCCTGTCGCTGACCCTGCCGCAGGGCCTGCCTCTGCGACTGTTCCTCCGCCTGTGTCGCATGTCGCGCCGCTTGCGTTTGTCGTTCAGGCTGCTGCACTTGTCGCACGGGCAGCACTCGTCCTTCCACCTGCAACTGCCGTTCCGCGTGCGCTCGCTGCTGCCGTTGCCCAGCCGTCGTTTGTCGCACGGTAGTCGCTTGCTGTCGCACGGCTTGCGACTGTCGCACAGGCTCCACCTGCCTGGACTGGTACTGAGCCGCGCGTGTGGATTCATTTCCACCAAACACCCCCTGGGCGTTGTAATCAGTAACAGCTGCTGCAGTCGAAGCAGTAGCACCACCGCTTAACCCTGCCGAATCGTACCACGTGGCGGCGGCTTGATTCAGGGTCTGATTCTGTGCCACGTGTCCGCCGCCGCCACCGTCCGCAGCCTGAGAACTTGCGTAAAATTCGGCTGCTGGCTGTACCAATCCTGTGACAGGTAGGAGCGAGCCGACCGTTTGGGCTGCGGCGGCGGTTCCGGCGTGAGCAGCGGACCAGGCGTTTAGAATCGCTTGCTGCTGGACTTGATACGCGTTAAGAGACGGCGAGACCTGATAAGTGGTTTGGGCCGGCTGCTGCTGATAAGCGGTTTGAGCCGGCTGTTGCTGATAAGCGGTTTGCGCCGGTTGCTGCTGATAAGAGGTTTGAGTCTGCTGCTGCTGATAAGCGGTAAGAGCCGGCTGCTGAAACGCGCCGGTTTGGGTGGACGGAGCAGTGGGGACTGACGAACCAAAGAAATGAAAGGTGTTAGAGTTCTGCTGAGCCATAACTACTCCTTTTGCTGTATGAGTAGTTTCGACGACGGGAGAGTTAAACGCAACATGGACACCAGCAACTTTGGCAGAGCGACGCCAATACGGAACAGAAGCTGAACGGGGAGATGTGAAGGCTAACTACTGAAGGCAGGAACAACTTTCAAATATTTCATTTGTAGAACGTTAGGAGGAAAGCGAGGTCAATGTTGCAAGAGCACCGCGGGAAATGAGCAGGCTCTGACGAGCTCTCCTCCGACAGATGAACAATTGTGTTCTGACGAGCTACACTCCAGCAGGCGAAAATCAGAATACACTAGATTACTACATACTTCTACACCCTGTTTTTCGCTATTGTGAATGCCGGTATACTGAACCCTGTGGCTCATCGCGCCAAATTACGCGCTATAGTCAACTTTTGCACCAGTTCGGTTTGACGAGGTCAGCTACCTTTGAAGACGGTCGGTTGAAATTTTAATATGGCTCGGTAGGGTACCCAGGTTAACGAAATTTCGGATCACCCGCCTCCTAGAGACGGTTATTGTAAACTTTTCGAATACGTCCAAGGAACAATTCCACTGTTCAGTGTGTTTCCGTAGTTCAGTGTAGCGAGAAACAGGGTGTATACATTTGTTTGGCGAGCTGCGTGTTGGGTCAATCTTGCGGTTCACCGCACTTCTTGGTCCGGCGTATCGGACGGTAGAGAGCATGTCTTTCTGTATTCAAAATGGTAACTCCTCGCTCAAACCCAGCTGGGGGATTGGCTCTCGCGAAGTCCAACTTCGATACTGACAGGAATTCGTTTGCGGTCGAAAGCCTTGGCCTCTCAACTCAAGTTTGTTGGGTGAAAGGATGTTGGGGTGCTTTTGGCTGGTGGGTTGGGAGGGTTGCGGGCACCAAAAGATTCCATTTCCACAAGACTGATACAGCGAATCTCGCGGTTCTGCGCACCAAACGATCCGCTCTTTTCTTATCGGACGGTTATTAGACTCCTGTGTTTCCCACCAGTTGTCATTCTGCCCGACCTGTGTAACCCTCGTCGCTGACCATCAAGAAAAGTTTCGTCGCATCAGAAAAATTGGTTCTGGCGACGACAGGCCTTCGATATTGGTTGGGGACCCGTTTGAGGTAGAAACCCTAGCATCTGGAATCCTCCAACCAATCACGTTCCTCCGTTGCCCAACGAAACCCTCGTTCTGCTTCATCCTCGTTTTGCCAACTTCCATTTCCCACCTTCCGTTTTCCCATGACCTTTCCGTTCCGTTTCCTCCATCCACCTTATCCTCAACAGCTAGCGCAGAGAAGTGCGATACAGCACCATATCGGAGCAGCAAATTGAGCTCTTGACGCGGTAAGGGAAAGAACCATTTCACAGATCCTTCTTCATCGCCTGCATCTTGAATCTCCTCTTGTGCAACACTAGTAGCGCTTCACTAGTGAGTCTGTTCTTAGAGGTGTGTATCCCCAAAATATTCACTTCCAATATCGAATCCTCCGATTCGCGGTTCGACCTCAGAAATCATTTCCATCCTTAGCCTTCAGCTGTAGTACGTTGAGTACGGAGCGCAAACTTTTCAGACCTCCTCGTTAGTTATCATTACCTTCTGTCTGAAATTACTAGTTTTTTTCTCCCTTTGTTTCTTCGGTCCGTATAGTAATCTAGACCATGGCGCAGCAGCAAGGCGTCGACGAGTTGACCTTGATGCAACAAACTCCAGGCGGAATGGTCATGGCTCCAGCATCTGCAATGGACCCGTACGGCGCGCATCATCAACATCATCACCATCATCTCCACCACCAGCAGCAGCAACAGCAGCACCATCACCACCTCGCGCATCCCGGATTGGTACAGCAATCACTTGACGAATCAACGGTCATGATTCCAGCTGAAGCCGACGCCGTCGCCGCCATGCTCGGAAATGCCGGCGGCGAGGTGATGCTAACGAGCGGAGGATTAGCGGGCGCGGCTCACGGTCATCCTGGCGCGATTGTGACTACACAGGGGGTTATGGCTGCCGGGGGCATCCCGCATGGTCAAGTCGTGATGACAGCGGATGGGAGAATGGTGACCGTTGACGGAAGCGTTTTGACCAATCAGGGAGTGCTTGTCGCCGCTGCCTCCGCGTTGGAGCACGCCTCGATACAAGAGCACGCCGCCGCGATGCACCACGCCTCGATGCAAGAACACGCCGCCGCGATGCACCACGCGGCGTTACAAGAGCACGCCGCTGCTGCGGCGGCTATGCGACAACACCATTCGTTACAAGAACGGCCTCCGATGCAGCACTACGCGGGAGAGGACCAGCACGCGTCGATGCAACACATGCACCAGCATCACCTACACCAGCACCACCACCATGCAGCCATGGCGGAGCACGAGTCTTTGCAGCAACAGCACCAACAGCAGCAGATTCAACAGCACCACCAGCAGCAGCATCAACAACCAGTTCAGGAGCAGCAACAGCAGCAGCAGCAGCAGCAGCAGCACGAAGGCCATGCGTCCATGCCAGAACACCAAACCGCAGCAGCCCATCACAGCGCACACCACGGGGGCTACCACAACGGAGATCACGCCGCACATCACGGCGGCCATAACGAAGATCTCGCCATGGTCGCAACCCACCGAGACCCCATGGCCGCCGGCGCCGGTGGCTGCGGCGGTCAAGGGGATATATCCGGAGGCGAGTCGGAAGGCGAAGAGGAGACGATCATGCTTCGCGGCCGCAGCAAGAACCGGCAGGCGGTGGAACTGATAATCAAGCAGGAGATCTGCGCGCTCAAAAACGCCCGGCCGAAGATCACGGCGGCCGGGATCTGCCAGGTGCTACGCGCGAAATACGGTAACTCCACCGTGCGAGAGTCGCAGATCCCGCGCATCCTGCGCGACGAGCACAAGTGGGGCCGCGCGCCCGCGAACTTCAAGCGCGTGAGGCAGCCGCATAACGTGCGGCTGGAGGAGGCTCTGGCCGTGTGGGTGCGGGATATGAAGGCGCGAGGCGACTTCCGAGTGACGTGCGATCGCATCCTGGAGCATGCGAAGGACATTGGCCCGTCCCTAGGCGTTCCCGCTTCCTTCAGGTTCGTGCGTCTTTCAGGTGTTAGGCTCTGGTGGTGTGGGTGCGCGATATGAAGGCGCGAGGGGACTTCCGAGTGACGTGCGATCGCATCTTGGAGCATGCGAAGGACATTGGCCCGTCACTGGGCGTTCCCGCTTCCTTCAGGTGAGTTCTGGGTCGGCTTAAAAGACATGCGATTGCATCTTGGAGCATGCGAAGGACATTGGCCCGTCGCTGGGCGTTCCCGCTTCCTTCAGGTTCGTGCGTTGGTGGTGGTTTTTGTGACGGATCGAGAACATACTACTTGTTCAATTGCTTTGGTGGGATTTTCCTTCTCGTTTTCTGGTGGCGGTTTCTGATGGTGTTTTC